TTGCTTATAATTAGAGGTCTCCACTGCGGTTGGCCACTAAGTGTCAGTTGCAACCGCGGTCATTGGTATACATACTTAACGGTATCTTTGTGAATCAACAAGTCTTTGTTTTAAATAGCTGCTTTTAAAACAAGCAAGATACGATCACCTTACTATTATCATTTCCAATGATTTAAATGCGCCCATGTTTATGTTTGCATAATTTAAGTTTGCATAACTCTGTGATATTGAAATATTCACAGACCCAATACTGCGGGTCAGTACCCTAACAATAGTAAAAATAAATGAGTTTGCGTAATTATTATGAAAGCAATACATTACAATGTTGAAATATTCAAAAACAAATTTGAATAATTAGAAAAGCAGTGCACTAAGTAAATGATGTTGAAATATTCAAAGCCAGTACAGACCTCTCACCAATGTATTAAAACACTTTGAATTTATACTTTGTGTGATTATTTTTGGTCTACGCGAAACATTAATCTTTCTAAACATTTTCTGAAACCATGCATGATGTATATTAACGAAATAGTGCGATCATATTTTATATTATATTGATCTCTTTCTGAAACGCTTTGTGATTTCATTGCAAGGCTAAGACAAATAAAATAGCATTCTTCTGTTAACTATTATAGACTAGTTTTCAAACTTTTGGCTAAGCCAAATTTATTTAATTTTTCATTGAAATTTTGTGATCCTTTTAATTTCCCAGTTCCTTGGGTTCATTCATGGTCTTGACAATAAGTGTGAATTGCCATGCAAGCCTACTATATGCAGCCGGGGTCATGGAATCTATGCATATATTTGCATAAAATGCGGTCGACGTGCGAGCGCCGACCTTCACCACGGCAATGACCACGGTGCACCACCAGTTTGATTTCCTACTCTCCCTTAAGTCAGTTTCCAGTACAATAATATATACAATGGGATATTCTCTCCCATAATGCATTGCATATATGTGCAGAAACGTACACAGTAGTGCAAAATTTGAGTTTAGCTCAAACTGCGTCAAGTATCTAAGAAAACCATGCAGCCATCTGTTTACAATACTGATACTTACCTGTAAGGAGGATGATGCTTGTTCATAATTGTTAGCATACATTGAGTAGAGTTTGAGATACGGCGCTAATTTTAAGAACGCAATTCCAATCCCAAGTGTTTCCATGTGATTTAACAATTCCTTGTTCACTGCTGCTAACTGCTCTACATTCCCAAATATGGTATTAAGTGAATTGAGAGGCATCAGACATGCTGTCTGTAATGGACGCACATAACACTGCAAAGACAATGATACAGAGTACAAAGTTATTAGACATGCTGTGTGTAATGGACGCACATAACACTGCAAAGACAATGATACAGAGTACAAAGTTATTAGACATGCTGTGTGTAATGGACGCACATAACACTGCAAAGACAATGATACAGAGTACAAAGTTATTAGACATGCTGTCTGTAGTGAACAATTCAGGGTGTATATTAAATCAAATAAAGTTGGATTATAGTATGACTGTTATATTTCTATCACTACTGGTAAGCACGATGCAGTCCTTGGGATAGGCAACTGCATTTTTAATTCTTTGAGCGCCAAACTCAACTCAAAATTACAATATTTTTTGTCACAATTTTGATCAAGAACTGAAGGCAATAAGAAATCCAGTCAGTCCAAAGTTACAATGTAGCAACCAAATTATAGTTAAATATATAAAAGTGCAAAAAACGTACGTTAAGAATACATTGTAAATGATGTTGATAAGTTCTTTCAGTATCGAATATTTCTTTGATTATTTTCTGTCTTCTTCTTTCTCTCCTTTCTTCCTCTGCATTGAGGTTTTTCTTGCCTGTATCATTTCTACCATATTGCATATGCTTGTCCCAAGAATTGGCTGAAATAATCAAAACAGAGGAAAAATAGATTATCTAACTTTATCTAATTTGCTTGAGTAAATAAAAAAAACTTTACAGTATTATCTAGCGTGGTTTACAGCAATTATTAGAAAATAAAGAATGGTTGCTGTAAACGCACGCTAGATAATACTTGCAATTCACCATGTGGACAACCCCTATGAAATAGTAATCCCAAACCATGCGTCCGTCACTCAAGTGGCGCCGACAAATCTGGACCCAAGTGTTTTGCAAAGTTCCAAGGTATATTGCTAACTGACTGTCCGAATAATTCTCAGGACGGCTGTAAAAATTTAAAAGAAAGTTAGTTGTCTATTTCACCTGTATAAAATATACATTTATTGTTTTGACTGTTTGTGTCAGAGACGTTGCACAAACCATTACCAATCTGTCAAGACACAAACAACATCCAATTGAAGTACATGCATGTTTGGAAGTTTATTTGGTCATTTAAAGATTAGTTTGAAAAAAATTGTTGCAGAGTTATCTACGTAAAACATTTTAGACATAAATGGTTACCAAGATCTAATTGAGAGCGGAAGAGTCACAAGATAGTTTGCTCAAATAGTGTTTCCATTTTCTTACGTCCTTGTTTTCACTATATCAAATACCATGTACATGTAACAGGAGTTTCTCTAGAAAAAAACGGCAAGAGGGAGCACTGCAATTCAGTGGCGCCACCAAGTGGGGGAGATAGGGTTCTCTCTACCAGGATGTGGAGTTTTTGATAATTCTACTAGTAAGTTAAAATGAGCATCCTATGGCTTCCTTTGGGCCAAAATTACTATCAGACAGGTCACAGTTGAAGACAGTGGCCACATGTGATCCCTGGTCAATTAGAATTTTATTGTTGCCAGAGGATCTGCTTCCCAGTGTAAGGGGTGCATGGCCATGGCATGAGGGCACTGCACCCCTGTTCCCTTGTTTAAAAAAATCCCTGATGTAGGTCTAGAGAACAGTATACGCTGGATGTCAGTTGCCATTTGTCTCTAGGGTCTTTCATCATGCTGTTAAAGTTGCTGTTTGGAGAATGCAGAGGCAAAGGGTGAGGCATGAAGTATCCAAAATACAATTAATAATGACTTACCTTTTTTTCTTCCTAATGATCTAAGTATCATTCTCAATGAACTAGCTCCATGGTTACTACCTCCAGTACTGTGTCTTCTTGACATTGTATTTGTTTTATTCTACAATGGAAACTGAGCTTCTTGTCTGTAAAACATTGAAAAAACAAAATTATAATTTGGTAAAACGTAAATTCCACCCATAGGCATGTGTATATGTGTGAATTCTTTTAAAATGTTGGACAGAACTATCAATAACTGATGATGTAGCCCATGACTTGGTTTGACAGTCTATTCAGACACCTTTCATAAGTCATGTTGTTGCTTGATCTTATCTTTAGGTTGGAAATATTATGAGGTTATCACATGATATCACTTGTCTATAGAGCTGGTTAAGTGGATAGTATAGCCCATGATACCCAAGTATCAACTAGTTTTATTAACAAGTGACATCCACCCCAAAAGACCCTGAATGGACGTGTTCTGAAACATTGCAGGGTTAGGGTTCTTTAAGGCCCCCTCACCCATAACTCACCCAAAATCTTAACCCTAACTGCCCCTCTTAGAGTACCCCACCCATTTTAATATTATACATGCCCCTCTTCAGGACAATTATAATTTCCACTACTCAAAATGTCTAGCTATTTTGAATAGTTACTTATGACAACGATTACCAAATATTATCTACTATATACATGTATTACATTGGAGGTTGGATAGCTATAAATCCACGGTGTTGTCAGAGTGGGTGTTACTTACATTCATTTGATCGCTGGCTGCTATTAAAACTCAAACATCACCATGGATTCTACTATAGCAAAACGGGGCAGATGCGCAAGATACAATACATGCAATGTGCGGACGTACTAGCATCTTCATCACTAATGAATAGTTTTCTTACAGGGGGGGTTGAATTATAGGTTCAATTTCCTTTTTGATGATACACTATGGAACATAAATGAAAATGTGGGAAATACCTCATCAGCTTTAATAAGGAAATATGTAACTGATTTATGGCAATATAGAAAAGAAATAATGAATGTAATTTAAAGATATGTATTACTGTTTTCATGGTGCCGATACAAAGGTTGAATAAACATTATTATTATTATTATAGCAATACA